TATTGAAATACTTGCGGCATTGCGAATCGAGAATTCGGGATCGATTCCCGGGTGTTAAAGTTTAATTTCAGTTTGTTTTTTATTACATTTTTAAGTGAAACGTTTGGAGTGGAATGTGGAATTGTTTAGATGGTTTTTTTGTCTTTGGCTTGTCTTATGTTTGTCTGTCTCTGGTGTTTCAAGTCAAATCGGCAACAGGAAACCCAATGTCAGACTACGCCAGACAATCCACAAACAGAGAGAGATGGCGGGAGATCGTGAGGAAAGCTGTATAGGCCTCCAACACAAATACGGCCACCTCAACGTGACCACGACCGCTCTGCCAAGAGCGAAACGATAGAGAAGAGAAGACAGGAGTTTCGGATGTCCATGGGCAAAGATTTCTTACCATCAGGTGATCCGTCTGCTCGTTTACCGACCAATCCCATTATAAAAAGAAAAAAAGTAATGATATTGTCTACGATGGAGCATGCCTGCCTATAAGTAACCTACTCACTCAGGCATGTTTGAGGAAATTTGGGAGAAGCCGTCAGAAGCGCTACTGCATAGAGAAGGAGTCCTGAAAGGTATTATAAATTGAGTGTTTTCGATTTTCGTAAATTCTGAAAATTAAATCCAGTTAGGTAGTTCAAATCCGCGAATGCAATAGGTGTTCTAGAGTGTCTACAGTTTTACAGGGGAAGGTTAAAACTTAATAAATTTAATAATTCAATGAATTTGAAGCTATTTTATTAAAAATGAGTCGAAATGAACTCGTCTCAAGGCGGTGGCATCCAATTAAGATTTTGCGGGATTACCTACATTTGTCTGATACTTACACGGAAATCAATGCTAGTTCTACGGATTTGCACTATCCTCGACGCTATGCCACTTCCCTTACCTACTTATTTTTTTAAACTAGATCGTTAGATATCAACGTCAAGTACCAATGTGGCTTTTTCTGAGTTCTTTCTAAGATTATCTAGACACCACTGACCAGCGGTGAAGTAAAACATTGTGAGGAAACCTGGGCTTATAATTTCAAATTAATTACAAGTCTGAAATCGCCAACCCACAATAAGCAAACGTGGTGATTAATGCTCAAACCTTCTCCGTGTGACGAGAGCCCTTTGGTCAGCAGTGACCACTTATAGACTGTTAAAGTGATATGATTAGATGATTATAAACACTGAAGATTATGATCTTCCAAAACCAACACATTTGCTCACAATTTAAAGCTCAATTTACCTTGAAAATACCAAACGACAGAGTAGACTTAATCGAAAGAGGTTACAAAAAAAATAAAACAAAGAAAATCGTCATTTAATTTCTTTTAATAAGATTTGTCTATAAATCGCTACTTTTTTCACATTTATAAATAGACAATATTTTGGAACGACAAGAAAAAAAAACAGAAAATTTTAAACTAAAAAAATCTTAGTGCCCCTTAAAAAAAATGTATTGCCCCGATTCCAAAATGTTGTCCATTCAAAAAATTAGGAAAAAATGACTAATACTGCTACATTGCACAATAAATAACTTAACAGTAAATTTGTTAATAATTACGTTTCTTAAATTTATCGTTTTTTTTATTACTTATTAATAATAAAATTATTATTTACACAATTTCTTTTTTTTTTATTAATTTATTCATTTATACAGATCGAGTGGGAGATTCGACTAAATGTTTTTACAAAAAAAATATTCAATTAGTTTTTTTAATGAGGCAAACACTGGATTATTTAGTAGGTTAGTGCCCATATTGATTTATTTTGAGTACTATATTTTTAGAATATTGTGGTTTAGCTAGTTTTATGAATATGTCAAAGTTTTATTCGGTCTTATTCGGTACAGTTCCGAAAAAACAAAGTAGTACCAATGTTTTAGGTCTAGTATTCGACATGGGCTTGAAACTAGTCGAGTAACATCGTCAAACAGTTACATGAATAAGTCATACAATTTAAACTGTTAATTATATCTGTCAGTTAAAAAAACACAATAAGCATTTGATCAACCAACGGTTATAGCTTAGAAGGTATTCGATTATATGACCTTTCTGGGTAGGTACTTAATATTTTTTTTATGTCTGCAAAATAAATCAATATAAACGATAACCATAGTATTTATAATAAAATGCAAGTCAAGTTAATGTAGACATCAAAATACTATATTATCTTCAAACAAAATTTGACCAGCAAAACTAAAAATTGTATTTTCTTATATTGTCGCAATAATATGATATATTTTACATATATACCTCGAAGATATAGACAGAGGTGTATAATTACATAACATAACATCACGTTTTTTATCCCCGAAGGAGTAGTCATAGATGCACATTACGGCACTTAATGCCACTGTACAATGTAACACCCACTTTTCACTATTTATGTTATGAGTCCCATGTAATAGGGGGTGAGCCTATTTCCAGATACCGTGATGAGTGAAGTGAGATTTTAAAAAAATCTAGAAAGAATTTGCCCAAACCGGGAATCGAACCCGACACCCCTTGCCCGGCAGTCGCATTTGGGACCACTCGGCCAATGAGGCAGATGCACACTTACGATAACACTTACGGAGCCGCGAAAGACTAAACGGGTTACCGGGGCTCCAGTTCGAAGTGCAGGAGTAGGAACGGGGTGGTTTTTAGTCAGTAAGAGTCTGACACTCCCTCCCGCCTCACCCGGGCGGGAAAAGTCATTGAAGAAGAAAGAAGAAAAAGCATTTATTTGGCACATGGCACACAAACAAAGATTATGAAAAAAAAATACAAGTACATACTTACACAAATACATAATATCAAAAGGAAACATAAAAGCATAAAGAAAATAATAAAAATCATCAAAATATAAGAAAATAATGTACATATGAAACAATTGAAATAAGTTTTTGATATAAAGACAAATTAAATACACAAAAAAAACACAAAATAATATAATAATTGGATGGATGGATCCATCATTGGATGAATCCCCTCTCAAAAAAAAAAATGGTGCACCTACTTTGAGGCTCATGTAAATAATATCTACTTTGCCTGACCCAAGAATTGAATACGAAGCAACAAACTGGGAATCGAACGACCCCTTGCCCGGCAGTCGCACTCGCACTCCGCCAACGAGGCAGTAATTCTAACTTATAAGCTATGTTACTATGATATACTGCAAATTGAAATTCTAAAAGTTAAATTGATATTTAGTAATGGCGTATAAATTTTTTTGCGCATAATTTTCTATGTGGTAGACATTTAATGTATGTTGTAGTAAAATATGAACAGTTTCAACAGGATTGTTAGGTAAATCATTGATTTTGTAAGACCCCAGCCTCTACCCTAACTTAACGAGAACCTAACGGGTAACCGGGGCTCCGGCTCGACGTGCAGGAGAAGGAACGGGGCGATTTTTAGGCAGTAAGAGTCTGACACTCCCTCCCGCCTCACCCAGGCGGGGAGTAGTCATTCGATGATTTTCCCCATTTAAAAAAAAAAGCCTCTACCCGCGACTTCGTACGCGCAATCCCGTTTTCTCCCGTTAATTCCGATTTTCAGGATTTTTTTTTATTACGTTTAGACTGATTTTTCATCAATTGTAAGTATTGCGACAATACATAGAAAATATGAAACAAAAGACATCTAGGTACATAATATAGTTTACAGACAGATGTACAATATGTTTAGTTGTGTCTAAACTGTTGACATGAGAGAGCGAGACGCTGATAGTTTCTGTACTCTTCTTACAATTTTGATTGAGTTTTGATGATTGGAAAAAAATATAAATAATTTTGTAGTGTAAAGAGCTGCCAACGGCAAGTACCAATGTGACTTTTTCCGAGTTATATGTATCTACTTTCTAAGATTATTTAGACACCACTGACAAACGGTGAAGGAAAACATCGTGAGGAAACTAGGGTTATAATTTCTAATTATAAGTTTGAAATCGCCAACCCGGATTGAGAAAGCATAACATCACGCCTTTTATCCCCGAAGGGGTAGGCAGAGGTGTACATTATGCCACTGTACAATGTAACACCCACTTTTCACTATTTATGTTATGAGTCCCATGTAATAGGGGGTGAGCCTATTGCCATATTATTATACCGGGCACATTTCCAGACTCCGTGTTACTACTGGGAATTTTTTTAAAAACCCAGTAATACTGTGCCCGACCCGGGAATCGAACCCGAGACCCCTTGCCCTGCCAATGAGGCAGTCATTGTCCGATTGAGAAAGCGTAGTGAATAATGCTCAAACATGTGGCCTTTGGTTAGCAGTGGCCACTATTGATAAGTAAGATGGTTTGTTTGATTATTTGTTCATCAGTGGACGTCTTTTGGATGTTGCTGATGATGCTAAAGATGATGATGATGATAGCTAGGTTTAAATAAAGCCATTTGGCATTGCGGTGAAGGACTGCAGAATAGAATATATTTGCTACCAAGCCTGCTCTTCCCGCGGGTGTCGTATACCCGACTAAGAGACTACACATTTGACAGAGACCGGTCAGCAGCGATCTCTAAACTGCATGCATCTCTGAATCTTTTAAGCCCTTAGGCCTTAGGTGCTGTACCACCTAAGGCTTAAAGGCCACCTGCTTTGAGGCGAAGACATAAGAATTAGCGTACTCGCAGGCTGAAATTCACTGTTTCTTATCTCCAGCTTGCCTTAAAACTGTAATTGCCAGCCTTCCTTTAATTTCTTCTGTAGAAGACGCTCATAGTTCATCAGTAGACAGACGAGGTGTAGACGTCGCTACAAGACTAAGTAATAGGGTAGTTTTCTACATTTTATTTTAATGTCCGTCTGGTAGATTATTTTAAAACCTTAGACACGTATTTTTTCTTTTCTCAGAATATTAAATGCTTTTGACGATATATTGATTTGAAATGTCGTGTGACGTCACAGCGTGCTACAAAATGTACCACGTTGTGACGTAACTAACTCCCACTCCTAAACTTAACGACATTTTATTTAAGTATTGTAACTTTATACGAGAAAATAAAAAAATACGTGTCTAATATTTTTTCATTATCTAACTGACGGACTAATCAGATTTTTAATTTTCTTACCATGGAAACTACCCTATTACTATTATTAACGTGAACAGTAATAACGTGTACGAAGAAAAATATGGAACTTCTAGAAATAATTATTAATATTTTTATAGTATGCGGAACTGTTTACAACAGTTATTGTGATATAATTGAATTCCTTTGAAATGGGCCACTAATTAAGAAATTGCACATGCCATGTATGTGGGATATGGCATTTGAAAATATGTGTATTTAGTACCTTTTTCAGGAAGTAAGGGCCAAGAGAATGGTGTTGGTTTAATAGACAAGATTCCGTCTATTGTACAAATACAAAAAGCTCGACGTCCGGGAAAAGATTTTTAGCATCTTATTGCAAATCAACGAAATTGTTGTTTAATGTCAGGAAGCCATGAAATTCAAAGTCTTTGAGTTATTGTTAAAGTTCCAGGGTAGTGAAATCTGTTTTAAATCTGGGAGAGCCATGCTTCGGCACGAATAGGACGGCTTAACCAGAGTGATACCACCAACGAGCAGAAACCACAGTGAAACAACGCTTGCGTTGCGTCGTATGAGTGAGGTTACCGGAAGACCAACTATCCTCCCCTCCTTCCTTAATCTCTCCAATACCTGATTCCCCGACATTCCTCAAATTCCTAACTGATGCCTCTGGTGTCCATAGGTGGCGCCGATCTCTTATGTGACCACCGACGTTTATCGCGGCCTTAGACCATAAAAAAGTGATGCTATAGTAGTGAGTAACTTTGATAGAACGGAAACTAACAGTAAATAGCAGATATTCACCAATTTTAATTACAAATAGAATATAACCGAAAGCCCCTCAAACCGTCCACAATCACTTCTTAAAACATGGCGAAGAAAAACCAAAAAAAAAACCACATAACTATCAATGATCAATCATCAAAACTCAACCAAGTCTCCCACCTACTCCACTCTACTCCTAAACTCTATTCAACTGCTGTTCTCTCTCTCTCGCCTTCATCTCCAGCTCCTCTTCCTCCTTCGTTAGAGGTACAGTGCTGTGGTTGTACAAGCCTTGTGCCATGAGCTGCAGAGCCAGTGGGTTCCTCTGGCCAGACGCCTTCTTGATTTTGGCTCGCTTGTTCTGGAACCAGATCTTGATCTGAGCCTCCGCCAGGCCGAGCTCTGCTGCCAGGCTCTGTCGTCTTCTCTCTGTTAGGTAGCGGTTTTCTGCGAACTCGTGCTGTTGAGAAAAGGCTTGGTTAATATAAGTGCCATTTTTTGAAATGGTATTGGAAAATGAGAAATGTTAGATCTTAAATTTTAACATAACATAACATCACCGAAGTGGTAGGCAGAGGTGCACATTACGTCACTTAATGCCACTGTACAATGTAACATCCACTTTTCACTATTTATGTTATGAGTCCCATGTAATAGGGGGTGAGCCTATAGCCATATCCCGGGCACAATTTCAGGCTGTGTGCTATTATTGTATTTTTTTTTAATATCGCAGTAGTACTTTGCTCGACCCGGGAATCGAACCTGAAACCCTGGCAGTAGTACTTGCGATCACTCGACCAACGAAGCGGTCAAATTTTCTAATAGGAAATTAAATTATTTTCTTTTAAACAATCAAACATTTTGACGGAATTACCTTCCACTCAATCCACTTTATCAGCAGACATTATAGAAAATCATTCCCTTTAACATTTTCTTCTACGTCGTGGGTGCGTTTACAAATATTTCTATATTCATAAACACATGAAACAACAATTTGAGGATCACACAAACAGTGCACCAATTGACCAATAGTATGTAAGTCAAAAGTATGATTTTTCCAAAAAAAAAAAAATGCAGTCATACCTTTAACCTTGCGAGTTGGGGTCCAGAGAATGCAGTGCGGGGTCTCTTCTCGTCAGGTACTGCGTTATCCCCGGGGGGCTTCTTAGGCCTTCGCGTCCTGGGACCTGGTCAGAAATTGACTAAAATGGAGGACGAATACCTAGGGCTTATTACTTCGATACTAGATTAATGTATGTAGATAAAAAGATAATATGAAATAATTGTTTGAGAAGATTATCAACGAATGTAGGTAATTTACGAAAATATAGCTTTTTTAAATAAGTAGGTATTAGGTTATTTTTTTAACGAATCATCGACATTTTTTCTTTCAGAAATCAACCTAATAAAGTTGAAACATAATCTTTTAATGAGTAATTAATAAATGATCTAATAAAAATTATTGAAATGTAAGAACACAACACAAGCAGCGCAACACAAAAAAACAAAGCAACAATCAAAGAAGCAAACACACACAAATACAAACACAATATATTTTATGTTATGAATTACGTACATAACAAAAAGGCACACAAGAATAACACACAATTAATTGTATACTCGCTAATACGCAATATTAAATACCCAAAAAACGAATGCAAAAACAGCAACAAAAACTGCAATACGCAAGGCCCTGTCTATAACAGAGCAAGGCCATGTCTATACCAGCGCAAGGCCCTGTTTATACCAGCGCAAAACCCTTTCTATACCAGCGCAAAGCCCTGCCTATACCAGCGCAAGGCCCCGTCTATATCAGCGCAAGGTCCTGTCTACATTAGCGCAAGGTCCTGTCTACACTAGCGCAAGGTCCTGTCTATACCAGCGCAAGGCCCTGTCTATACCAGCGCAAGGCCCTGTCTACACCAGCGCAAGGCCATTTCTACACCAGCGCGAGGCACTGTCTATACTAGCGCAAGGGCCTGTCAATACCAGCGCAAGGCACTGTCTATACCAGCGCAAGGCCATTTCTACACCAGTGCAAGGCTTTGTGTATATCAGATCGAGGCCCTGTCAATACCAGCGCAAGGCCCTATCCATTTAAGTTCTTGTCTTGCACGTACTGAACTGGTCCCATTTCACGGCAGACTTGGGACATGAACATGTATCCATCAGTGACTACTTACTAATAAAATAACACATCTATACGTATGTCACTTGTTTTTTATCGTGTGAAATAAAGGTTTTTCTCTCTTTCAACAACATAAGTGCAGCTCCCTCGATGGAATCCCCAAATCAAGCAGACGATGCAATATCTTAACCAATTCAGTTCTCAGTTTTATAACCACTGATGACGGTAATGATAAAATTGGTCAAAATATTTCACCGAGCGCCTGACGGGCTGATGGTGATGGTGATGGTGTCTTCCGTGGAGTAACCCTAGAGGTGGTGGTGGCTAGACATTCGCTTGAAGTTTAGGTATTAAGCGTGGGGATTAGTTGTGTATTTCAGATTAAAGTACGTAGGTAAAGATGAGTGCCTCATTGGCCAAGTGGTCGCTAGTGCGACTGCCGGGCAAGGGGTCTCGGGTTCGATTCCCGGGTCGGACAAAGTATTACTGGGTTTTTCAAAAAATTCACAGTTGTAGCACGGAGTCTGGAATTTTGCCCGGTATATGGCAATAGGCTCACTCCCTATTACATGGCATTCATAACATAAATAGTGAAAAGTGGGTGTTAGACTTTTGCATTGAGTTAAAATTGCTCCTATTATGATGCTAAACTTGGTTAGGTGCCAGATTGTATTATACTGTTCGCAGTGTAGGTACTTTAATCTGAAGTCCACAAAACACTTATTTTCTATATTAGTATGAACACAAACAAATAAATAAGCTACAAAAACACAATTTACAAAAAACTGTGGCTCAAAACAATTTTTCTACGTGGCACAGACATTGACATTAAGATTAACAACATGCTGATTCGAATAAAATCCTAGATTTATTACAAAAAGTCTAGTTTATTAGTCAAAGATCATGTTTCAACTTTCAATTCAATTAATTTAATCTTTCGTATCACTTTTAGCATTGTTATGTAATAGTTAAAATAAGACATTATTCATATGCGGTGTGGAAAAAAAATATCTTGATAGAAGAAACTTCAAATTATAACTTGATAGTCAGTTGTCATTATTTTATTTATATAAGGTGTAGTTTTGAAACCGTGTCATTTCTCGGGGGCATGTCACAGAAGTCTTATAGGTTCAATGTAAGTAAAAGATTCGGGCCAATAGTTAAAAATACGCCTTAAAAAATCGTTTACGTTCGACACTGTTTCAGAATAAGTGACAGAAATTGTTGTTATTGGAGTTTTATGGAATTAGGAATAATATCAATTAAGTGTTTGAGTATGTGTGTGTTAAACTGTCAAACACCAAGCGGTCACCGGTGACCGCAACCTATTGTTCTATAATTGTGTCTATAATGATGGTACTCAACGAGTTAAACCGCGTTATAAAACTAGTTACAAGACGGCGGCGCGTAGTTCACACTTACGGATTTCCGTAATTTACAGAAAAAATAAAAATATTTACCTACAATTTTTTTTATTGATTCGGACTCAGAATCGATAGCCGAGTTACCTCCTAGAAAATGACGCGGCTTTAAAACAACACCTTGTATTTTACAATTGAAAACAAATAATGATGTTTCAGAACTAAAACGTAAAGGTGCTCCCACACCGAGAGCATTCGCGTGTAATGTTACAGATCTGAGCATTACATCAGTGAAGGAGGAGAACCGAGCATTACAATGCGCACCTTGTAATGATACAATGTGTAACAAATCTTGATACAACTTGTAACATCAATGTCTGACATCTTGCTATGAAATGCTCAAAGTCGAATCTATATATTACATTACACGAAAATGCTCGTTAGCCAGGGAGGTATTATTGTAATACAATGCTCAAAGTCAAATCTATAATGTTTCATTACACGTGAATGCTCCCGGTGAACAACTTAAAGTGTGAAAACAAATGAAAGTCATATGATAATGTGGATGGATGGAAAAGAAAAAGTACAAGTCGATGGATTGTATGAAGAGTTATAATAAATATAAGACAATAAGAAGTTTGTATCAGGATAACGTTTGACAGAGAAGAACAGAAGAGGAAGATATTGTGACATTTTTGAGGGTTGGGGGGATTATCCAATGACATCTTTTTTAATGGCATAAGCCGGTAAACGAGCAGACGGATCACCTGATGGTAAGCAATCGGCGTCGCCCATGAACACCTGGAACACCAGAGGCGTTACAAGTGCGTTACCGGCCTTTTGGGGATTAGGAGATTAAGGATCGTTGTAGATTCCGGAATTGGGGAGATTGATGGGGAAGGGGAGGGTAATTGGGGCTCCGGTAACCTCACTCACACGACGAAACACAACGCAAGCGTTGCTTCACGTCGGTTTTCTATAAGGCCGTGGTATCACTCCGGTCGAGCCGGCACAATCGTGCCGAAGCATGGCTTTCCCACACTTAAATTTTCAAGCCGTGTGCATGAGGCTAGAGAGAGTGTCAGACTCTTACTGACTAAACACCACCCCGCTCCTATTTCTGCTTCGAAACGAAGCGGATATAAGTTGTCCGCGGTTCCAGGTCGGGTATAGGCCCTACTGTAGTAACCTCAAGAAACTGAGGATAACGACAGGAAGAACAAGATTAAAAATACTTCAGAAAAAGTGAAGACGAAACGAAAATATACAACAATAAGGGCATGAAGACGAAGAAGAAATATTGTAGATAAGGTAAAAACTAAACGAAAATAAAGAGATGGCATTTGAAATGAATAGTTTAAAACATAATTTGTTTATAACAGTCGTTGATAGAAAGTTCGGCAACCGGTATTTTTTATAATAAAGACATAAAATTAAATTTATTATATTCGCTGTATATATTAGAAATATATATGTGTATTTTAAACTTTTAAACCATATAAGGAAGTCTATAAATGTATGAAGAAGTCACCTTTTATCTTTCTATTTGCGAAACTGGTTTAAGAGTAGATAATATTAGAATATCAGGGCATTTAATTGAACTGAACGCCATTAACTAAATAAGTTCATGGAAAATACATTGTGAGTTCAGTTTATCACAAAGAATAAGTTCAGTTCATCACAATATTGGATAATGTATCAGAGAGATTTTTTTAATACAGTAACGAATGGAATTTTTTGCTCGTTCTTCTCCATTCGAATCTATATCTTGGAATGATGGTGAGCTTCACTGACGGGCAGACTGGCAGACTATTATTTATTTTGTATTTGTTGACGTTTCAAAAGTACCAAATTATGGTTTAATTGAAATAAATGCTTTGACTTCGATAAAATTGTTTCAAAAAAGTGACTTCTGATTTTTTTCTCCAGACTAGTCAGATAAAAATATGATCGTCATCATCTAAACAGTTATGGAATAATTTTGAAAAATAGATATGTAAAGGCATGCAAGGACTATTTTAAAAGAAATAAATACCCGAATAAAGACATTTCTTTTCTGACGAAAAGAAATGGATGTTATCAGCCCAATACAGATTCTTATATTTAACTAATTTGGTTGAATATCTGATATGATGGTAACAATCTGCGAGCGAAGTAAGCGTTAGCGTTGTGTTCCACGCGCGCAACTCGAGGAAGGAAATCGAAGCTTTTGGGGGCTGCTACGTGGTGAGACCTGCCACAATCTAGTGGTAGGTCGAGACTTGCCGGGTGCGGTGAATCTGCAAGGGCATCTCGGGTCACGGCCACAGGCAGAGGAGGAACACCGCGGTGGTTTTAACCGGTAAGAGTAAGGCACATCCCCTCGTCGTCCCCACGGCGTGGGAAGTCCATGAGGATCCATCGCATTTAAAAAAAATATGATAACAGTCTGATAGAGGAGAATAGGAGGAAGGAAGAAGAAATAATAGGTTGCTGGAGTCTTGACATAAAATAAATAAAAATATTATCTTTTTATAGAAAAATAAATGGAATTTTCTCACGTGGTTCCCGTGAGCGCGTCCCGTACTTACTTCGTCCTGTAACAAAAGAAAAAAATGTTATTAATAAAATAACAAACACAATTGCTATAAAAATAGACATAACATTAGATAATGTCTTAGGTATGTTATCTTAACCCGTTGAAAATGATCCCCTAAATTTGTTCAGACAAAAGTAGCGAAAACTGCTGAACGAATTCGAATGAAATTTCGCACAGATATAGACTACAGACTCCAGTCTGTGTTATTCCAGCTTGTGTTATTCCATAACACAAGCTACTTTTTGTACAAATGACATCGGTGAAACTTTCGGTTCAATCATCTTTAAAACAAACAACAATATTATCTAAAAAAAAACTTGATAAAAAACAAAAAAACGAAGACGAATTTCAACCATCAATCGGCATAATAAAGATAAAAATTAAAAAGTCAAAAACAATTAATTTTATGCTTAATTATTGTCTTAATATTGCTTTTATGGCTAATCAGACGTACTCGCAGAATTTTTATAGCGTCAAAAACATTTTAACAATGGCGGCCAATTTTAAAAGACCTCTCGCTGTGGCGCTTTTTGCTTCATTCATAATTCTTTTAATACAGATTTTGTTTATGGAATAAGCCGGTAAACGAGCTGACGGATCACCGGATCACCGTAAGTAATCGGCGTCGCCCATGGACACCTGGAACACCAGGTCCAGGCGTTACAAGTGCGTTACCGGCCTTTTAGGGAGATTGGGGAAGGAGAGGGTAATTGGGCCTCCGATAACCTCACTCACACGACGAAACACAACGCAAGCGTTGCTTCACGTCGGTTTTATGTGAGGCCGTTGGTATCACTCCGGTCGAGCCAGCCCATTCGTGCCGAAGCATGGCTCTCCCACACTTAAAATTATCCCACATGTAATGTAAACAAATCAATCAATAATAGTGTGATTGATTTTTAATAATTTATATTTAACTTCGAAGACATCAAAATTCGACCGCGGCTCAATATAAAATGGTCATTCATTCAGAGATTATAAAGGACGTGACGTAATAGCCCACCCAAGATGTCGATTAATTAAGACATTCAGCCTAACTGTAGCATGTTTGTTTATTTTTTTATTTTATTTTTATTTTAATGTGAACATACTGTGTTATATTCACGGGTTTATCTGTAAAGGGTAAGCAGGGATTAAAGCTATTGATGTTTAATGATTATGTCTTATAGTTTTTGGTACGATAATGTAAAAAACTACAATATACAAGAGTATAAAATCTAAACTGTCTCGTTGACCCAGTGGTCGCTAGTGCGACTGTCGAGCAAAGTATTATTGGGTTTTAAAAAAATCTCAGTAGTAGCACGGAGTGTAGAATTGTGCCTGATATATGGCAGTAGACTCACCCCCTATTACATGGGACTCATAACATAAATAGTGAAAAGTGGGTGTTACATTATACAGTGGCATAATGTGCACCTCTGCTGCCCCTTCGGAGGTAAACTGTCAGAAGGTTAGATTTTGGTGTTGCGACCTAAGACACCTTGATATTTAGGATCAGTCCACATTCGAACTTCATCTCACACACTCAATAACAGCGCATGTCACCACAAAGCCATCAACAAACCCATAATATTAATACATTAAGGTCTTAATTACGAACCATCGTTGGTGGGTGACCTGTTTAGACCCCATGGGGTCCACAAATTGGGTCCAGTAGGCGTTTTTATGAATTAATTAATGAATTATCATGATCGTTTGATTGCCTTGTTGATGTGTATGCGCAGTTTATGATTTAGTATGGCCCAGTGGGGCTAATGCCCGATACGAAGTCGCGGATAACTCAACGGGTTGCCGGGGCTTTGGTTCGAAGCAGAAGTAGCAACGTAGTAGTTTCTAGTCAGTAAGAGTCTGACACTCCCTTCTGCATCACCCAAAGCGTGAGATGCCATTTTTTACTAGCCTTGGTCGTCCCACTGCAGGACAAAGACCTCCCTCCCCTTCTTCTACTCATTCCTCCGTAGAGCTCTACGGCTTCCTATGGCCAATCCTTTTGATAGGTGTCCAAATCATCCCGCCATTTCCTTCTGGACAAACCGCGACGTCTATTGGTCGCTGAGCGGGTTCCACTCGGCAGTGAGTTTTGCCCACCGCTCATCTGACATGCGGCTGTCGTGACCAGCCCAGTTCCACTTCAGGCGATTTTCTAGTCAACGTCAGCAATTTGAGTTTTGGACCGCTGGGAGTGTGGAGTTTCTCATTCTGTCCGATAGTGAGACTCCTAAGATACAGCGCTCCATGGCTCGCTGGCAAACACTGAGTGTGGACTTTTGATGTTTTGTCAAAGACCAGGTTTGAGCACCATAGGTGAGGATGGGCAGACGATGTCATTGGTTCAGACAACGTTTTTATGAATAAATTTGTGAAATATGGACATTTAAGGCAAACCCCTCTTATGCAGATGAGGCTCATAGTTCAGCACGACTGCTATGAGCCACGGGTAGTTAATATGTAGAGGTAGAAACTTGAAAATCTTAAAACTTTTCTTTTAAATACCCCACATTAATCTTTTCTCCTGTGTCGTGTGTGCGTTTACAAACATACAAGTTCACATACACATGACACCCAGACCCGGAACAATCTGTGGATTACACAAAGAGTTGCTCTGTGCGGGATCCGAAACCGCGACGCGTTGCGCGGCAGTCGGTTGCCCAGCCACCGCACCAACCCGTGCCATCAAAACTGACCACCGTGATCGAAATAAACCCATTATTTAAAGCTTATATTAAGACAAAAATATGTTAATTATCCACTAATTTAGTTTAAATATGCAAATAACTAATTCAGGAGGTACATATTAATTAGGCATAGAGAAGAATTTGGATAATGCGACCGATGCCGGCGGATCTAATAAAGTAAGATAATAAAATTGTATTATTTTAATGAGTTCGCTTCAAAAACTGGTAATTATTAAGTAGGTATGTTTAAAATATATTATGCTGATGTTTTGATGAATTTCATTCGAGTTTTGTTCGAGGTATACGGGGGCTTAGGACGGTGAACTTTTTTGTGTAGGGACGGCAAGAATATTCATCCTTTATCGATCCGTACACCCTTACAGACTTCCTTACACGTTAATAGATACGACTAACAGTTGCACCCTAATACTGTCCATTCCTGCAATACAATAAGAATTATATTTAGAGCTCCTCTCGCCTGTGGTACACGATTGTCCTAGTGCAGGCATATAACATTGTGAAGACAATTGTAGGTACGTACTTAAGATATATTTTTGTATTTTGCATTTCTATAATTTATAAATAAAGTTGTTTTTTTTTTTATTTATTCCGTTTTTGCCAAGTGTGTGACATGTGTCGCCATACATTAAATCCCTTTTAATTACCTAAATTAAGGAAACTCGGCGATTCAGACAGCGATTACTCAAAAGTTTTGTTGGTTTCACAGCACCAATCTCCAGAACAACTATATCAATTTGGATAAAAATATGTAAGATGTTACTAACACAAAACACCACCTAAAATTGTTTATTCTTTCCATCGGTATCTACCATTCACCCACACATACACAACATATGCAAATGACCAGCAAACACACACATAAATATTATCAAAATGACATTAATTACTTCATCAAGAGCGGCCATGACAGTTTTTATCACAGTGTTGCCAATTAATAATTTTATTGTCTATATTTTTTTAATTATAGTCATTTGCCGTTTGACTAAAAATTCCTTCGTTGAAACGGTCATTAAGTGTTGTATATTTAAAAAAAATATGCTATTTAATAGTTTAACGCATCTGCCTAGTTTTACGCGCTTTCACCGCAAAAGGTTAAGCAGGGAGCACATTTTTTACTTACAGTTTTAAACAATTGGTGCAAAAGCAACCGACTGGCTGTGGCCTAATGTGTCGTGGTTTCCATGTAACACATAAGAACATAGGACACACAAAATAAAGTAGAATTAGCTATTTAACCGTGCTTCGGCACGAATGGGCCGGCTCGACCGGAGTGATACCATGGACGAGCAGAAGACCGACGCGAAGCAACCACAGCGTTGTTTCATTTCATATGAATGATGTTACTGGAGGTCCAACTACCTCAATCTTTCCAATCTTTGAATACCCAACAAACTCCAAATCAAATTGGGCCTCCGGTAACCTCACTCACACGACGAAACAAAGTGTGGGAGAGCCATGAAATGGGCCGGCTCGACCGTAGTGATACCACGGCCAAGCAGAAGACCGACGTGAAACTACGCAAGCGTTGTGTTTCGTCGTGTGAGTTCCTAATCTCAAAAGGCCGGTAACGCACTTGTAACGCCTCTGGTGTTCGTGTTCATGGGCGACGCCGATAGCTTACCATCAGGTGATCCGTCTGCTCGTTTACCGGTTTATGCCATAAAAAAAAAACAACGCAAGGTTGGACAAAAACCTCTTGCTACATTCACGATATCTGGTGACAGAAAGTACGGTAGCTCCCATTAAATTCCGTACAGTTATATACACAGAATTTCAGACGTCAAAAATGTCAACTAAGTATATTTTACCTAACCGGAAATCGAACTTAGGACATTAAGTTACATTGTGACACTTTTATTAATCGACCATAATAATCATAAAATAACATAACATGATTATAAGAATGATGAAAGCTCAAAACAGACTTATTATAAGTTTTTTTTTATTATTATTTTTTATTTTGTTTTCGCCTTCGACAGTTGACCAATGGGTTCTGCGGTTAAAAGTATCAGATGTCATCGTGGTGATCATCAATTTGAGACCCGATCAGTTTTTATGGTCTTTTAGTTTTTTATGTCTACATTCGGAGTTTTTTGTAGGTCTAGTTGTTGGATATTAGACAGTTGAATGAAAGGTTTGAGTGTCGATTCTTGTGTTGACCATTGTTTGAAGAAGATTCACTCTAACTGCAACTTACCAATCTATTATTATAAGCCAGTCATTAACGACTGCTGAATTGGGATGATGACGGGGTATGAAAATTAAAAATCGAATTAGTCCGTAAGTTAGATAATGAAACAAT